AAATTAGAATTGATCAAAATTGCAAACTTTTCCTCATCCCTCCCTTCCATCCTTGCAATTTTGGTAGAACGTAACGTAGGCAGAATTCCGATATTTATGTCTCCAAACTTGCCATTGTCGGTATCAGTCTAAGTGTTCACGATGGTTGCTGAAGGGTTGCATCAGGCTCATTCTCCAAGCACGGAAGCCCTAGCCAGACAGTTGTCAAGGCAACAGAAAATGCACACTGTGAACTACCAAGGAAAGGCCCTTTCTGGCTGCTTACAGTCTGTACGATGTTGAAGTGCAAACATTTTTCAAGCTTGGCAAAAAGATCTCTTTTATGGCTAATTATAAAATGCACCCAAGGTTATTAGACTGGGTGATAGATGATTGCCTGCTAAATGGGATGTGAAAAATTAAGGCAGTTTTCAAAGCAGAGGGACCTAAATTAAGTGTGCCTAAAGGATCAATTGCTTATTTTTGTCATTCTGCATAACCCGAACAGAACAGCTGTGTGTGTGTGTGTCTGTGTGTGTGTGTAGGAGCTTCCAAACTCATATTTATTTGAGTCACATCATACTTTTTGCTTCCAAATGTATTCAAAAGAAGGTAGGAGGTACCCAACCCATATTTCGATTTTTGGGGGGAAGAAGACTTTAAATTAAATCCCTGTTGATCAACATTAAGAATTTTGAATTACTCCTAGCAGGTGAGATTATAAAATCAGAATTTTCCTGCTAATTTCAGATGGTTAAGTGATATTATATCTTCTCCTTTTTTTTTTTTGCCTGCTATAATTCTCTTCTCACATTCTTGCTTGCCAACAAACTCCAAATCAATACTAACATGTTAATTTGATAAAAGATGTGGTGACTCAGGATCAAAGGAATCAGGGCAAAAACCCTGATCTACTAATCCACTGTCTTAGTTACGTGTTCCTTTGAAAACAGACTGTCTTTAAATCTGACTTGATATGAACAGCTGATCCAAAGCCTGGTGGCCAGTCTGAGAGTGAACGGGAATTCAGTGAGTTAGGCTGTGGAATGAGCTGATGTGAACATTCATCTTTTCTTTCTTGGGTGAGCCCCAACTCTTGGTAAACAGGCCAGACTTGCACTGAGGGTGACATGATCAGGTACGTTTCCTCGGGCTCTCACCCTAGGGGAAGACAAAAAACGGAACTTCCAGCCTTTAGAAGAAGAAATAAGATTAACCTGAGGGAGAAGTAAACTCTTGTAGACTCCACTGATTGACTATGGAAAACTGTAGTATTTATTGTCTTCGCATAGATAGAGAAGGCTCTTGAGGTTGATCTCCTAGAAGGTGAAAATGTCATGGAAACTAGTTATGCATGAGCCTGTAATGTATAGCACATTTACCCATACATGTGATGGCCACATGTCTCTCCTTAGCCTGAAATGCTCCTGTGACTGCATTTTATACACTGGGTGCATCTCTACAGGCAGAAGAGTGGGAAAGATTATTATGCGGTAAATAGACATGTCAATCAGGCGTGTTTGGACAACGCACAGCAATAAACCAGGTTTTTCATTTCCTCTATAGCTTTTTGGGATATTATTATTTCTCTTTATAGCCTTTCCATGTGTGTTTAAATAGGTCCTAAATGTAGTTGTTCAAGATATTAGAATTAGGGGGGCCTGGGCGGCTCAGTTGGTTAAGCAACTGCCTTTGGCTCAAGTCGTGATCCCGGGGTCCTGGGATGGAGGCCCATGTCAGGCTCCCTGCTCAGCGGGGAGCCTACTTCTCCCTGTGCCTCTGCCTGTCGCTCCCCCTGCTTGTGCTCTCTCTCTCTCTGTCAAATAAATAAAATCTTAAAAAAAAGATACTAGAATTAGAGTGTCAGAGAGGAGTGAGTATAATTGACTCTTGACTTAAATTCCTTTCCTGTTTTCTAGTCTTGCGTGGAGGTAGTGGGAAGCGGCAGCAGGGAAGAATGACCTCAAATAAAAAGGTGAATTGAAATGAAATGGCTGAAATCTGTTCCCTAACAACCAGCTTTCTGAAATCGTATGTAAAATGCAGGACATATTTGGACTCCTCCTCGGAGTGGATCAATAGGTTCCAACAATTCCTCAAATGGGTCCTTGACCCCCAAGAGATTAATGATGAACACAACCCAAGAGTTTGTAAAATATGCAAATGGACTAGAATGCTACCAAGTAGCACTGAGTCAAGGGAAGTTCTGTCTGCAGGCACCATGCTGGAGTGGGCTGCCCCAGGCCCCGGTGAGTGACTCGGGAGGAGGGAGGGCCGGGCACATTGGAAGTCCTTGTCCCTTAAGCTGGGTGCCCGGTATGGCTGTTCCCAACTCCGTTGAGTGTCCTCTCTCCAACCTCCCGTCAGCTCTCTACTTCAGCATTTTATTGCAGCAACCAAGGAAATAACATGAATAGAGAGCTTGTAAACTCTGAAATGCTTGATAAATGTTTATCATTTAAAAGGGGAGAATTGGCATCACAGTTTCGTGCTGCATAAACGTCGATCAGTTCTGCCCATCACCATTGGAAATGTCAGTGACATCCAAAATGCCTGTTAATGCTTCCATTCACTCATCTTTTTGCTAATAAGCTAGTTCATAAAATTAACATGCCCAGATACTAAGATCTGCTATCAATACATACTGATGCTTTCCTTCTCATCTCGGGCTGGGTAGGATGTCCCCTGAGAGGCACTGAAAGATGGTGGAATGACTCAGACGTGGAATGCAGAATGTAATCTAATGGCACTGAAAAGCGATGCAGTCAGTTAGAAATAACATCCAACTTTCCAGGCAGCTTAAATGATGTTGAATTAGCTGCAGTGGCCGCATGGTTATGTCTCAACATTGCTGTGACGAATCTGACCAGGAAGGAAGTCCCGCATGCAGAGAACAATAGTAACAAAAAGGTCTAATGGGATGAGTGGGATATGTTTTGGAAATGATAAAGACAACGTGTTCTATAAATACAAAGAAATTTGTTGTCACCTTTGTAGCTTATTTGAGAAAACTGGGCACATAATTTATAGCCTGGATTCCCATTTGAGGTAAAATGCAGTCAGATTGCAAGAACTGAGATTTGAGCCATAGAACTGATTACAGAGTAGATGGAAGTGGATTCCCTGCATTTAGATTTGCAAGGTGAGCGACAAGAAATGACCGTCTAGTAAATATGTTTAAAATAGCCAGGGATAATTTAACTTCAAGCAAATTATCCATCAAAGATTACTGAACACATTTTTTTTTTTTTAAAGCAGATTTTACAAGCATGCTGGCAAGGAAAATTAAAAGGATTCCCATCTTAAATGAGTTAGCGAAGACATAGATTTGATTAGTGATATCCAATAAGCAGATGAAATTACATGTTAGAATGACTGAAGGTAAAACTATCACTTTTCTGTTGTGAAGGTAAAATGAGGAGTGTTCTAATCACAAGGAAAAATACAAGTAAAGCAACATAAAAACCTGCGTGGGGTTGTGTAAGGACTGGATGTCTGTGTCCTCCCAAAATGCATATGTTGAAATCCAAACCTCATAATAATGGGAGGTGATGAAGTGATGAGGGTGGAGCCCTCATGGATGGGATCCTATAAATCTGCCCTTACAGAGGGACCTCAGAGAGTGCCCATGCCCTTCTTCCACACTGTGAGGACACAACGGGAAGAGCCCTTGACCATGCTGGCACTCTGAACTTAGGCTTCCAGCCTCCAGAGCTGCGAGCAATAAATGTCTGCTGTTGATAAGACATTCAGTGTATGGTACTCTGTTATAGCAGCCTGAACTGACTATGGCAGGTTGGAAGTCAGAACTCAGATTCTCTGAATCCCAGCCCTGGCTTTCAGAGAATGTCAACTGTGGGGTGTGTGCATGTGTTTCTCAGGGCTGCGCCTGGACTCCTAATCTACAGCAGAATCGGCACAATTTCTGCTGCCTTATGGGTAGGAGAACAAAGGTAAAATGAGATCACTGTACAAAAGCATTTTGTAAATGAAATGTTATCTAAGTAATTCATTCATTCTTTGGATATTATCTTGAAATTGAAAAAAATATATATCTATAAGGAAATTTTCTCTGTTTATCACCACTACCTTCTACCCTTACTGGAAAACATTTTCATGAGCTATTTGGTTCAGAGTTAAAAAGAGAGTGGCAAGGAGAATAATTATTCAACCATAATTGATGTCAAGCAAAGTGGGAAAATCTCTTAATTTATTGGAGTCTAAATGTCCTTGGTTATGAAACCCAAATGATAAAATGCAGTGTTTTGTAAACTCTAGTGCTTAATACAAATGTATTTATTTTAATTCCTCTCTTAATCACTAGAACCCATTTCTCTAATTTTTTTTTGCTGCTGATATATTTTTGCTCTAATAAGTTTGAAAGAATTAAAATGCATTATTCCTGGATTCAGATACCTCCTTGGGAATTTGGTAAGAATACAGCGTATAATACACACAACATACAAAATAGATGTTAATTAGAAAATTATGTTATCAGTAAGGTGTCTAGTCAACAGTAGACTATTAGTAATTAATATTTGGGATATTTAAAGTCATATCCAGATTTTCAACTGCACACGGTACTGCTGCCCCCGACGTCTGCATAGTTCAAAGGTCAACTGTACATTGAACTATATCTGCATTTCCTTCTGATAAAACACCTCAGTTGGTTTGCTCCAACCCTAACCATTTATCTCATGAGCTTACATCTCACCCTTATCTCACCTTTTGCCTTGGGAACTTCAGCTCCATTCCCATTTAAGCCAAAAACAATATCTAATTTTCCATCCATTAAGGTAATGTCTTGTGATTCAAAACATACTTCAAGATTCTCCTTGCTGAGAAAGCTTGTTTCAAGGTCCCTGGAAGAGTCATGAGGATGCATTTGATTAATAATTGTAACTCTTCATATTCACAGAATGCCTCAATTAAAGAGTGCTTCTTCATATGTACATGACCTCATTGATTTTTCATTTATATAAGGAAGAAAGTAACATCTGTAATGAAGCTTTTTTACATGCATCCTTTCATCTGTTATAAAAGAATACCACCAATGTTTAAAAGAGGTGAAGTCCAGTATTTCTTGGCTAAGAAGCAGGACAGCTCAGATAGTACCCATTTCTATCAAAACCCAGGGCTCTTACTTTCAAGATTTTCTTTGGTTTGCTGCAGGTTGAGTATGGGGATATGCCTAGCTATGTCTGTTTGTTACTTATTCTGCTCTGTGTTCTCTGAGCTTCCTGGCTCTGTAATCCGGTACTTTTCATTATGTTTGGAAAGTTCTTGGTCATTGTTACTTCAAATATTCTTTCCCCACCATCTTCTCTTCTCCTTCCAATATTCTCATTACATGTATGTTATGCTTTTTGAAATTGTCCCACAGTTCTTGAAGGCTCTGTTATGTTTTTCCACTCTTTTTGTCTTTGCATTTTGGTTTGGAGAGTTGTTATTGACCTATCTTCAAGCTCAGTGACCCTTTCCTTGGCTGTGCCCTGTCTACTAATGAGCCCATCAGAGGCATTCTTCATTTTTGTTAGTGTTTTTGATTTCTAGCATTTCCTTCTGATTCTTTCTTAGAGCTTCTGTCTCTCTGCCTATATTACCCATCTGTTCTTGTATACTGTCTACTTTCTCCATTAGGATCTTTAACATATTAAACACTTATTTTAAGTTCCCTGTCTAATAATTCCAACATATGTATAATTTCTGAGTCTAGTTCTGAGGATTGTTTTTTTCTCTTCAGACTGTTTTTTGTTGTTGTTGTTGTTTTTGTCTTTTGTCATGTCTTGTAATCTTTTTGCTGAAAGTCACACGTGTTGTATGAGGTAATAAGAACTACGGTCAACAGACATTTAGTATGAAAATCTATGGTCATCTGGCTGGGAGTTTCGCTATTTAGCATTTACAGTGTTCTAGGTGCCGGAGGCCTCCAATTCTTCCAGCGCCCCCGTTTTTTTCTCTGCTTTTGACTCTGGCCTCCCTAAGTACTATTCCTCAGGGAGAGGGCAGGTCAGCTCTCTGAGATGGACTCCACTGTTATCATACTGGAGTCCTTTGATGTGGTGATAATGTATAGAGGAGGAGAAGCATTCTACAATCTCATGAACCAATCTCATTCTCTTAATGGGTCTGTGTCACGGAGCTGGGACTGTCACAAGCATTTCCTCTATTGGTATTTTCCCCCTGCCCCTACTCTTTTTTGAGTGCAGCATTCCCAATCTTTTCCCTTGGAACCGTGATCCATGTTGATTATGCTTTGTTTTTATCATATAATGAAGTACACAGGAAGTTCAGAGTCTACTGTTATGGGAGAAATGTCTTTTCCCTAGCTTGGATATCGCTCTAGTCAAGTCTTTTCTGATGGGGCAAAGGCTTTTGTTATGGACATATTTCACAAAGATTACTCTTCCCTTCCTCCCAGAGCCATGAGTGGATCTCTCACATCTTCATCTTGAGAACCTGTGAGTTTCCTGAAGGTAAAGTCCATGAAAGAATGTCCCCCCACCCCCACCCAAGACTGTGGCTCTCGATGGCTTCTCACTCATGTGAATCCACACTCAGCTCTGAGCAATTCATCAAAGTTACCATTTGAGTGTTTCTACCAGTGTTTGGCTCCAGTGGCTTTTGTTCCAAGTCAGCAGACCTAGCCTTTGTCTCTCCAGATTTGGGGTTGACAGTTTGCCTTGCAACTTCAATTCCCTCATGAGTCCAAGAAATGTCATTGATTTTCCAAGAAAGAGTTCAGCTTCTTCTTGTAAAGATAGAATGATTTCCAAGCTTGTTATGTGTCAGAGCTGAAACCAGAAGTTCTAAATCTTTCCCTTTACCTGAGAGCCTTCACCAGATTCTAAGAAAGAAAAAGCAAAGTCTCCAAAATAATCCGGCATCTACTCATTGCTAATTTGTGTCTTAGCAAAGAGGAAGGGAATGCTAACATATTAATTTCTTTATCTGCCTGTCCTTTATAGAGGAAGAAGGCCAGCCAGAAAGTCACTGAAATAGTTTGGGGGCAAAAAAACTTAGGTGTACCACATTAAAAGAGGACAACAATCCATCCAGCCCAGTATCCCATCTGACTGTGTTGTGGGGGAGCAGACCAACAGAGATGAAAACAAATGTAGTGATGGATCTATTGTCCACCAAATCATGAGAACCCTTAAAATCACAACATCATAGCATGTCAGAACTAGAAGGTGGGTAGAAACTGCTCCTTTATGCTGTTGTTTAAATCCTGTAGACTTTCATAGAGGTGTAAAATGTCTTAAAAATATAGCACTAGTGATAATGGGAAAAAGAAGGAAGGCAACATCCACTTCTCTTCTTTCTATCTTATCATCAAGTCATTTGTGAACACATCATAAAACTATGTATATCATAAATCTGCTGTCACCTCCATCAGCTCTCCATTCCATCTGAGTCAGTGTCAGAGAAAGAAATGAGGAAGACGTTTATGCTCTTCTTGCTCATTGGTTCAAATGGTGAGGAAGACTGTATCAAGACAGACAGAGGGATGAGGCAACAGCAAGAATAATAACCCTAAGGCCACAAGTGTGTCATAAGAAAATATTTTTGCTAGACTTCAGATTCCCCAACATGAGTCATCTGAGGATAGTCCTGGAAGTGGTATTTTTGTTTTGTTTGTCTGGAATGTTATATAACTTGTTGTATGGTTGGTTGTCTTAGTCTTAGATGTCAGAATAGGAAGCAACCAAAAGTCAATCTTGTTTAACATTCTTCAGGCTATGCTTGAATCTTTTGGTTTGCCCGGGTCCAGGTGACCTCTCCTGAGGCCCCAGGTCCACAGGGCTCATTAATCCCCAACCAACTTACTTTATGTTCCAGAGCACTGGTTGTTACAAAGTTCTCTCTCTTGCTGAACCCAATTCTATTTTCTTGTAAATCCATGAATTGATCTTAATTATTGCACAAAATAAATATCTTTGACAATTGAGCTATTAGCCCACATATGAATTTTGTAGTTACTGGACACAGTATTTCTGAGACAAAATCTTGGATGAAATTCAACAATTCTTTCTTTCATTTTCAGGTATGTCAAAATAGATGAATCAAAATGCCTAGCCTCAGTGATTTAAGGAGTTCACTAAACTGACCTATAAATAAAGCAGCTGAAAGAAGTTTGGAACATAACACATAGAAATGTATTTATTTTTCTCCAAGGAGTGAATGAGCCCATGTCCCTGAGGGGCCCAGAGGGCAGGAATCTGCCCTCAGTTTGTGCAGATTAAAGACCACTTTCTCATCTAGAGTGGTAAGTGAGTGTTAATTGGAGGGAAGCGGTGAGTTACATTAAAGGAAGCATTTCCAATTCCAACTATTAAGATACACATGAAAATTGGCAGCTGTGGGTATATAAAGTGAGAGCATACTAGAGTAAATATTACAGAGAGAATGCCACATTCAGTCATGATAGGTGAGACAAATGAGTTCTTAGAATATTCTCTTTTTCAGAAAGACACTGGACCTTGAATTGGAAGAACTTGAAAAAATTAAAAGGCATGGAGACCTTATTGTCCTGAATGTGGTTTCAGGTAGGTGATTTGTTCTAATCTCAGCCAAAGTCTGAGCCCATTGCAGAGAAGGCAGCATGCTGGTGGCAGAAGGAGGGACATGGAGAGAGGAAGGCATGGAAAACATTGATCCAAGCGAAAATGGCCCTGGGAAGAAAGGCAGAGGTGTTTTTGTTTGTTTGTTTGTTTTATTATTTTTTTATTAATCTTTTATTTGAGTAGTTGTTACACAATGTCACATTGGCTTCAGTTGTACAACATACTGATTCAACTTCTTTATATGTTATGCTCACCACAAGTGTAGCCACCATCTGCACCCTACAACACTGGAGGTTCTTGATTTCCTCCAGTTGGGAACAACTGTGAGCATGGACAGCAGCAGTGACAGAATGGGCTCCAGCTCCTGAATCAGCAGGCAGCACGGAGGGAATGGCTTGTAATCTCAGCACCTGAGCTCTGTGTAAGTACAAAATGCAAACACCAGCTGAGCACCAAGTGATCAGATAACCACATGTACAAAGGAAGAGACAATGGCCAATTTATAATGCAATGTCATTAACTAAGAGAATTCAGAACCCGCAGGAGGATCTTGCTCTGGCACATTCCCAGAATCTAAGTTGATTGATTTTTTTTTAACTTTTATTTATTTATTTATTTATTTATTTATTTATTTATTTATTTTTAATTTTTTTATTCTTATGTTAATCCCCATGCATCATTAGTTTTAGATGAAGTGTTCCATGATTCATTGTTTGTGCATAACACCCAGTGCTCCATGGAGAATGTGCCCTCCTCAATACCCACCACCAGGCTAACCCATCCTCCCACCCCCCTCCCCTCTAGAACCCTCAGTTTGTTTTTCAGAGTCCATCATCTCTCATGGTTCGTCTACCCCTCCGATTTCCCCCGCTTCATTCTTCCCCTCCCGCTACCTTCTTCTTCTTCTTTTTTTTTTTCTTAACATATATTGCAGTATTTGTTTCAGAGGTACAGATCTGAGATTCAACAGTCTTGCACAATTCACAGCGCTTACCACATGAGTCATTTTGTTTAATGTATTATATGTGGTATGGGTAATAATGTCTTAATGATGATTCAAATTCAAACTTACTTGTCATAAAGAAAGATCATGTTTGAAGAAAATAATGATTAGGGGGCCACAGGTAGTAATTACTTTGAGAAAAAGTGATGCTTCCATCTGTAAAATCTTCCATCCTTATAGAAATTTATCTGACATAGCCCCATAGCATTTCCTTAAGCTTACTTTTGATTGGACAAAGCTAAAGTAGGCTTTCTTTACTGATTCATTTGTTTTAATAAATTGGCATCTAAAAAATTCATAAGCAACCTGTAACAAAACCTAACTGAATTTTTGTTGAGCTGTTTTTATTTATTTTTAAAAATTATTTATTTATTTATTTTATTATGTTACGTTAATCACCATACATTACATCATTAGTTTTTGATGTAGTGTTCCATGATTCATTGTTTGCGTATAATACCCAGTGCTCCATTCAGTACGTGCCTGCTTTAATACCCATCACAGGACTAACCCATCCCCCCAACCCCCCTCCTCTCTAGAACTCTCAGTTTGTTTCTCAGAGTCTATAGTCTCTCATGGTTCATCCCCCCTTTGATTTCCACCCCCTTCATTTTTCCCTCCCTGCTATCTTCTTCTTCTTCTTCTTCTTTTTTAACATATAATGTATTGTTCCAGAGGTACAGGTCTGTGATTCAACAGTCTTACACAATTCACAGTGCTCACCATAGCACATACCCTCCCTAATGCCTATCACCCAGCCACCCCATCCCTCCCACCCCCCACCACTCCAGCAACGCTTGGTTTGTTTCCTAAGATTAAGAATATCTCATATCAGTGAGATCATATGATACACGTCTTTCTCTGATTGACTTATTTCACTCAGCATAATATCCTCCAGTTCCATCCATGTCGTTGCAAATGGCATTATTTCATTCCTTTTGATGGCTGCATAATATTCCATTATATATATATATATATATATCTCACATCTTCTTTATCCATTCATCTGTTGATGGACATCTTGGCTCTTTCCATAGTTTGGCTATTGTGCACATTGCTTGTTGAGCTCTTTTTAAAATAAGATTCCTCTATCTTAGGATTCTCAACACCAGCTTACCTCCTTTATAGACAGACCAAAAAAAGGAAAGTTCTTGGTGCTTTACTTTGAGGAAAAATGTCTTAATTTTGAATATGTAAGAAAAAGAGTGTAATGCATATTTTATCTTATTGCATATACATACAGCTATTACTTGGGTTTCTTTGTGAACTTCACAGCTGGAGTTACAGACTGATGATCATTTCATGTACCATCCTAATATCCATGGCAGTTATTCAAATGAGTTATTTAACTGACAAATATATTCAGACTTTAGAATAGGTTATGTGTTCATTCTCTTAGTGTTCAAGGGTAATGCAAAGCTCAATGCCAATTAGTCTAGAAGTTTCTTGGAGGGGTGAACAGGGGCAGGAACTACTCTTGTTTCTCACAAGGCTGAGCTTATTGTGAGACTTTAAATGAAAAACAAAATAGGGGCACCTGGGTACTCAGTCAGTTAAACATCTGGCTGTTGATTTTGGCTCAGGTCACAATCTCAGGGTTGTGAGATTGAGCTCTGCATCAACTCCATCCAACATGGAGTCTGCTTGAGAAACTCTCTCCCTCTCCCTCTGCCCCTCCCCCCTCACTAAAATCTTAGAAAGAAATAAAAACAAAATAATGGGTTGTAGAAAATGAATCTCTAATTTCTATTTTTAAGATTTTATTCGAGAGAGAGCGAGCACGAGTGAGAGAGCACAAGCAGGGGGAGTGGCAGAGGGAGAGGGAGAAATGGGTTCCCACTGAACAGGGAGCCCAATGTGGGGCTTTATCTCAGGACCGTGGATCATGACCTGAGCTGAAGGCAGCTGCTTAACTGTTTGAGCCACCCAGGCACCCCTAATCTCTAATTTCTAACCTAGTTATTGAGCAAATTATTTGAGGTTTATTGGTCTCTCCTTACCCAACGTTGATATAGTAGTTACTTAATTATACCACCATCATAAACAAAAGCAATCATTTATGGTATGCTTTTCTAAATTAAAAAGCACAAGGCAATACCCCCCACCCTAAACACACACATGCACACACACACACACACATTCCAAATAGCAGCTATCTGAATCTGAATCTCTCCACATATCCTTCAAAGAGCACACAGGACAATGAGGATTTCAAGAGTCACCTATAAACCTTATCTACAACAAAACAAGGAGACAAAGAATAATATAAACTGTAAATGTAATTGGGAAAAGCATTCTGAACAGCGAGCCAGGCTCAGCATCCAGGCGGCAGCAAGGGTTAAATGTCAGAGAAAGATCGCAGCGTGGTGTGGCAGTGGTGGAGGACGAAAACATTTCCTCACCCTCTTAGGGTGCTGGCTGCATCGGAAAATTAATTTGACAGAGGCAGCTTAACAGGAGAAATGTGTACACATTTCTTTGATATAAGTTTGAAATCACAGAGCAGCCTTCAAAAGAAATGAAAAGCCAAGGAAACAGAGCTGTGTATTTTTATTTTAGGTCTGAGGAAGACTGGATGGTCATGGAGGAATATGATAGGTTAAGGAGAATGAAGTTAAGTGTAGTAAATGGGTGTCCTTTTGTCTTGGGAGATAATGATGTTCCTTTCCTTTGGGTACCCTCCAGGTACACGGAGAGCACCTCTCATGTGAAGACTCTGTGACCTGTTTCAGAGACGAGGGGTGAGGGGTGTGGAGGTCAGAGTGACCTTCCTGCTTCTGCCTGTTTCTCAAAGTCCCTCAGCTTAAAATATGCAATAGGCCAGTATGCCATATTTGGGGGTAGTATGTCCTGAACTTTCCCCATCATAGTGGTGGAATGAGAAGGCACCTCCAGGAGAAGAAGGGCCTCTCTCTCCTTTTTTTTTTTTTTTAAGATTTTATTTATTTATTCATGAGAGACAGAGAGAGAGAGAGAGAGAGAGAGGCAGAGGGAGAAGCAGGCTCCCAAGGAGCAGGGAGCCTGATGTGGGACTCGATCCCAGGACTCTGGGATCATGACCTGAGCCAAAGGCAGACGCTTAACCATCTGAGCCACCCAGGCGCCCCATGGAGGGCCTCTCTTGAGTAGGCCGATGTTGAGACTAGGTCTGAGACCTTGGGGATCAAAGCCCTGGCTAATGTGGGATTAAAATGCCTCTGGCCTTCCCCTTGCTTGTGCTCTCTCTCGCTCTCTCTCAAATAAATAAATAAAATCTAGAAGAAGGAGAAGCAGCTTAAAATTCATCAGCCTGGAGGTGTTAGTCTTCCGGGGAAGAGGGAGCCAACAGGGAGGCCCGAGAGGGAAGGAAAGAAATGTAGCAAAAGGCTATGTTATTGGAAGAAAAGAATATTTCTTATCACAGGGCACTTTGATGACCCTACAAATTAGAAGACAATGATGAAGCAGACCCCACTTCCAAAGGGGAAAAAAAAAAGAAAGAAAAGAAAAATACTTAAACATTATAAGAAATGGGCTAAAACGAAAGTGAGGAAGAGTATAAGACACTGCAGAAAAACACTTAATAGATTTGAATAATAAGGAAGATACTCCTTGTTCAGGGATACAACAGTACAACATTATAAACCTGCCCATTCTTCTGAATCAACATACAAACTGAATACAATCAAAATAAAAATACCAATGAGTTTGGTTTATTTTTCCCTTGGGCTAGACATTTGATTCTAAAATGTATATAGATTCTTAAAAAATATGGCATAATAGCCAAGGAAACTCTGAAAAGAAAGTAAAGGGGTCTTCACCCTATGAAATATTATAATATTCCATCAAGCTTCTGCAGGTAAGCAATGTGGAAATGTTCCTTGAGCAGACAGACCAGTGGAACAGAGTAGAAAGTCCAGAAATAGATTCAACTATATGGAACATTTGTATGTGATAAAGGATGCATCTCAAATCATTGGGAAAATCTTGAACTTTCTCATAAATTGTGTTAAGACACCTAGATTCATTGATGAGAAAGTAAAATTGGATTTATACTTCACATAAGAAGAAACCCCAAATGATCAGTGATCTAAAGGTAACATTGAAACCATGTAAATGTTCTATTTGGAACATAATCTTGGAGGGAAGAAAAATTCAAAATCCAGATACCATAAAAGATTGATAAAATCAACTCTGTGTATGGGTGTGAGCATGTGTTTCAATGTAGCGAATAGAACAGAATTAACCATCAAAGCTAAAATAAAATAACATGCTTTTCACCTGAAGAATCTTTTTGTTAACCAAAATGTTTTACCTATTTTCAGGTGAGTAAAAACAGGGCAATATCCAGATGGAACTTCGTGAAATTTATAAATCTCAGCGCAAAAAGCACATCCTCAAGTATTCAGGCAGAAAAAGTCAATTTACTTAAAATAAAG